ACTAATTTATTAAATTTTCAATATAAAAAGTCAATTTTTTTTAATTTTATAAAAACAATTTTTATAAAAACAAATTTTTAATTGGTATCTGTTTTTATATTAACGTTTTTATTAACGTTGATTACGTTACAAATCTAACATTAAATTCAATACATATACAATATATCAATATGTTGTTTTTTAATATTTAATACATATTATGTTTATAAATTCCAAAAACATACATATATTTATATATTTATATATCTAAAAAGTGTAAGTAATAATCTATAAAGATATATTCAAAAATAACAATCAATATTAAAGTCTGCTACCTTACTGTTCTACGAGCGTTACCTTTTGCGCCTACATGCCATATCCACACGCCTACACACATGTATTGGTAATGTAAAGTAACGTTGACGTCATACATGTACCATATATGGTCCTACTGAGAAATAGCGTAGGTGTCACACATTATAAAGTATTTCTCTTGTCATTTTTGCCAGTTATTAGATATTTTTTAGTTTTGTTATTTTTTTATGAAATTATTTAATAGTAAAAATCACAATTAAACTGTAAATTAAATTTAAATACTAATGTAAAAAATAATAACTAATTTATGTATAATTTATGTGTATATTGTAAAAAGTATTGAATTTTATAATAACTATGTTTTTCTCAAATAACATATTGATTTTTAAATTGTTATTGATTTTTAAATTGTTATAAATAATAATAAATGTATAAACAAAAATCGTAAAATATTTATAAAAATTATTAAATTTACTAGAAATATTTATATAAATAGTTATCTAACAAACTGTCGATTATCTTTTGTATGTTTATTTATTAAACGATAAGTTTTACTGCGTTGTAATTGTTTTTCTGAATTTAAATTGTTCATGTTTTTGAAGTATCCATAACCGCCTTCACCTAATTTCTTTCGAGGACGTGAATTTTTACTAACTCCCACTTCTACAGTAATACGATGTTAAGAAAAAAATATTTTTTATAATTGTTATAATATAAAAACATAAAAAAAAAAAATAAAATAATCCATATAAAAATTTGTATAAATAATAAACAAAAGATTTTCTATAGTTTATAAACTCTATAAATGTAAGAAATAAAATATTTTCAATATTTTATATAAATAAATTTAATTTTTTATAAAGATATAATAAATGTAATAATTAGAATTAAATAAAATCTAAAATTTAAATTATTAATAATTATATATAATATTAAAAAGGATACTTAAATCCACAGTTGGAGGAACAACAAATCCAAAAGATTTTGCAACTTTTGCTAAGTCCAATGTTTCAATGTTAAAAATTTGTTTCAAATGATGAGAATCATATGCTCTCACATATGCTTTAAATGCTTCTTTTGCTGACATATTAAGGAAATAATTCTTTGAAATCAATTTTTCAAGCTAAAAAGATAAAGAGCAATTTATTTATTTTAATATAACAAAATTAAAATAGTCATAATTAGTATATAACAAAATAACAATTGTTGCTAAATAAATATTATAATAAATATATAATTATAATAAATTTATAAAATTTTCTTAATATTTAAATATAATAAGAAATTTTTAATTTAATATTAAATAAATTTAAACAATAAATATAAATAATAACTATGAATTGATTTATTTAAAAAGTATATCATTTGCAATTAATTTAAAACAAAATCTAAAAAGACTAAATAAAAAATTGGAAATAGTATGAAAATATTAAAATTTATATTTATACGTATTTTTTTTATATTGTTTTAAAATTGACTTGCTAAGAAAGTCTAACACAACTTAATCTCATAATAATAAATAATAAAAAAAATTTAATAATATAATGAATATAACAAATATAAAATTTTTCAAATTTTAAAAGTGTTTAATTATATAGAATATATATATATTCTATTATATACATATATAATAGAAAAGAAAATTTATATACTTACTTGTAATTGAATATCAGCAATTTTATTCCATGAAAAATCAAATTCATTTACAGGTACTTTAGCTTGTTTGAGATAACGAAGAAAGCCAAGTTCTTCTGGTCTTAAAATAAGTAAAGCATGACCACTGCTACCTTCTCCACGAGCTGTTCTACCTACACGATGAATATATTCCTAAAATAATATTCATTTTTACATTAGCATTATCAGCTTTTTATATGATATATAAAAGATTTATTTCGAATATATGAATTTTAAAATTTTATATGTTATAAGAAATTTACTTTAGGATCATCTGGAGGATCATATTGTACAATCCAATCAACAGCTGGTATATCAAGACCACGTGCAGCTACATCAGTACAGAGAAGAATACCAGAAGAAGCATTACAGAATTGGAAAAATGTTGTTGTTCTTTTTGTCTGTTTTTGTTTTCCCTATTAAATAATTAAATATATAATATAAAAATCTTATTTTTTACGTTAAGTACAAACTCTTTATATTACATGATCATACATGTATACTTAATACTGGCAAATCAATGTAATTTAAAAGTTCATGATGATATTTAACTGACATGCATGAACTGAAGAAAACCATGATTTTTTTCTTTCTGTTTTTTTTCAAGAAAGTGAATAAAAGTAAAAATCTTTTTTCACTGGGACATGCAACATAACCTTGCTCTAATCCTTCTACTGTTGCCTTTTCTTTATCATCATCAACACCAACATAAACTGGTTCTTTTTTTAAAGCTAAAGTCATTAACATTTCTGTCTTTTTAGTTTGTGTTGCACTGAACAACATTGTTTGTCTTTTTTCTATAATAAAATATTTTATAATTAATTATATATTTATTATTATTATTATTTTAAATTTATTATGTTTAAAACTGACTTGGTAAAATATTAATAATTTGCTTAAGTTCTTCTTCAAAACCAATATCTAAAATACGATCAGCTTCATCAATAACAAGACATTGAAGATTTTTGTACAAAAAATCTGGAGTATTTTGTAAATGATCCAATAATCTACCAGGTGTAGCTACAACAATATTAATTCCTTTTGAAAGTTTTTGAGCTTCTGTTTGTCTATTAGCACCTCCCATTAATAAACCATATGTATGATGATGATATTTCATTAATTCTTTTAAGACTCCAAATGTTTGCATAGATAATTCTCGTGTTGGAGATATAATTACACAACCAGTACCTACAAATAATAATGTAATAAAATATATTATAAATATTTTCCTTATTCACATACCATTACGAGGCATAAATTTTAATTTATAAATTAATTCAATAGCTGGTATTAAAAATGCTAAAGTTTTTCCAGATCCTGTTTTTGCAGCACCAACAAGATCTCTTCCTTCTAGTAAAGGGGGAATAGATTTTGCTTGTATTTCTGTCATATTTGTAAAACCCATGTCTTTTATTGCTTTTAAAGTATTTTCACAAACTGTATCTTCTAATATTTTGAAATTAATATCATTTACTATTTTTAAGCCCATTGTAGATCCAGGTACTACAATATAAAAATAAATCAAAATAATATACACATAACTATCCATATAAAATATATATATACTTACAATTTACAGTTATATTATCAATATTACTTTCTATTGTAGAATTTTTATTTGCATAATTAATACAATCTTCTCTGGTACAATTAATGTCATCTTGTAATATTCTATCATTTTTTATTTTTTTTCTTTTTTCTATAATATAATATAATCATAAAATAACTGTTTTTTTAGAAATATAACATAATATAAATATAATATATTATATTAATATAAATATAATATATATTTTTGATTTGACCAATTAATAAAATATTCAAATAAAAACTAATAACAAATTTTAAATAAATAATTTCAACTTACTTTTTATTGATTCATTTTCTTGTATATTATATCGTTTTAATTTATTTAAATCATTTATTTTATTTTCTTGAATATTATTTTCTGAGTTTTCAATTGCAGTTTCATCTTTTAATAAATTACCAATTAATATTAATAATTTTATGCAAGAATAAGTTATAATAGATTAAATATTCAATTATATTCTATAAATACACTTACCATTTTGTATTTGTTTTTCTCGCTCTTTTAAAATTTCAAATTTTCTTTTTTCTCGTTTCTTAATTTTTCGCATCAATATTTTATCAGGTACTGACATATTTATTTAATAAATTAAGTATCTACTCAATAAAATAAATAACGAAACACATTTCATCCATGCGGTACTGAATTATTAATAGGTTCAGTTTGTGAACCTATGAATATAGTTATATATAAAGATGAAACATCTTATATTTAGAATAAAACAACCAATCGTTACTAAGAATCATGGAAAAAGATACTATAGATAAATTAGAACCAATGAGAATGCGACAAAATGAGAAAAAATCTAATTATTTTAGAAAATAATAAGGTTAATCAGAGAGAGTGCATAAATTTTGTAGCGCAAAATATATTAATAGTCAATTCTTTTTTTTTTTCTGTCCTTTCTTTATTACTTTCTGTTTAATAATTAATCTAATTAGTTTCATTTATGGAAATCTAGAGATGGCGCTGATTTCACAATTTTTAATTTATCTTTCTTCCACTGTTTGCTATTCTTATTTTTTTGCGCATTATTAAAGACGAAACATAGAATACCAATTAATTATACTTTCATTCTTTTTTAAAAATAAGTCGCATTTCAATTTTTAATGTAAAAAATACAAATCTTTTTGAAAATAGAACATTTTCGATTCAATATATATTTAGAATTATTGTTAGAAATTTTAGAATATAATTCAAGAAATAATAATTAGAATAATATAATTCAAGAAAAAATATACAAATTTTTCAATTTAACATACAATAAAAATAAAATTTTTTTATTTAGCATATAGCATATATTAGAACACATATGTTTTAATATATGATTAAAATCCTTAATTGAAAAGACTTATGATTATCAGATAAAATATATTCCTAAAAATTATATTTTTTATTTTTCCAAGTTCTTTCAGAATATTTAAATACCTAATGATAAAAATATTTAATAATTTATTTAACAATATTAAAATAAATCATTAATATTTAAAATGTTAAATATTAAAAAAATTAATAATGTTAATACATTATTAAATAAAAGATTGTATTATTATAAACATAAACATATATATTAGTCAAAAATCTGGACAATCAGCATATTTAAATATTATTATATATGTATATTTTAATACTATTGTATATATTATAACTTTAGTTATCATCTTATAATTATCATCCTATAAACCAATAAGTTATCATTAACATCAAGACCTTGAATAAAGAGAAAGGAACTTTGTGCTATAAAATATCAGTGCAGTCTGACATTCAAATAAATACTACACGATTTTCTGTCCTAAATTATTGTCAATTAGATTTTTTTAAGTGAGTATTATTTTTTTTAAATTTATAATACATATATATTAGCACACATATTTCTTTTTTTTTAAATTAAATATATTATAGTGATTGAAATGTAATATGAAATATTAATATAAATATTATATATTATAAATACTTATACTAATACAAAAATTGATATATGTAAAATAAAATGCAAAAAAAAAATAATTATAAAAAAATTTTTTTTTGATTTTTGCAAAATTTTAATGAATTAATTTTTAATGAACATCAATAATTTATTTTTATTTTCTAATACTCTTGATATTATTTAAATTTAATTATTATTATATATATCTGTCGGAAAAAAATGATAAATTAAAAATATACGATAATATTTAAATAAAATTAAAATTTTAATAAAATGATATGAAATTTAAAAAATTTTTTAATTTAAGATAGATCGATACATTTTTGTCATATTGAAATTTAAAAATTATTTATAAAATATAAATAATAAATATAAAAATTTAAATTCTTATTTTATTAATAATAAAATCATATATTAAATATATTTTATTTTAGATCTATAATGAAACTTTATAGCGTTTCTGATGGACCACCATCTCTTGCTTGTTGTCAAGCTTTAAAAGCTTTAAATATTCAATATGAATTAATCGATGTAGATTTTAACAAGGGAGAACATATGACAGATAAATATGCACAAGTATTTTTATTTTAATAATTTATTTATAAATATTTTATTACATATTGTAATATAATAAGTAATCATTTTTGTAGTTAAATCCACAAAAAGAGATACCTATGTTAATTGATGATGATCTTGTAATAGGAGAAAGGTATTTATAAATTAAAATAAATTTCATTACTTACCTAATTAAAAAAAAAGGTTGATAAATTAAATACTTTTTTTTATTTTATAACAAATGATTTCTATAAAACTTAACATATTACTTATATTAAAAATTAATATTGTAAATTAATATAAACGATATATTAATATAATGATATATATCTATGATATATATATATATATATATAATTCTGAACAAAATAATAATACATTAAATATCAAAGTTTCAAAATAGATTAAAATTTATACGCATGTCAAATGTATATAAAAGTTTTATTGAAAATGAAAAGGAAAATTCTATTTTTTCTTTAAGGAAAATTCTAAAAATTTTAATTAACAAGAATGTATATTTATATATAATTGGATATGTAGATACATGCGTATCAGATATATGTTTTTTTATGTAGATGTTAATAAATAAATAATAAATATATATATAAATACACATATATTATTATTTTGTTTAAGACTATAAATATATATTTAATTTAAATATAACATTAATTGAAAGAACAGATAATATTAACATTATTTTCTTTTTTGATGCATATTTTTTTTTTTTATTTTATTTCATTAAATACGTATGTACTTAAGCAATGCCATTTTACAATATCTTGGTGATAAATACGATACAATGGGAAAATTATATCCGAAGGATCCAAAAGTTCGTGCAATAATTAATCATCGATTGTGTTTTAATTTGGCTATGTATTATCGTAATATTTCTGAATATGTGGTGAGTAATAATAAGCATAATTCAATATAATATTATACTTATAAGTTTTTATATTGATTTATTCATATTGATTTATTTGCATTAAAATTGTATAATATTCAAATTGTATATAATTTAATAATACAATAATAAATATAATGCAATCAAAATATCATTGTTTATTGAAACGATTAAAAATTTTTCCTGTATTTGATTAACATATGTCAATCATTTAAAATTCTCTATCTTTTTGAATTTTGAAAAGTTGCTTTTCTATAAAAATAAAAATGTAATATTTTTTTCTTATATCACATTTGTCACATAATATTATTTTTCAAAAAATTGAATATACAATTATTTAGTAACATTTTTTAATTAATTTTTATTAAAATATTTGTATAGATGGCTCCTATATTCTTCGATTATAAAAGAACTTCTCTGGGTTTGAAAAAAATGAAAATGGCTTTAAATGTTTTTAATACATATCTACAACGCGAAGATTCAGAATATGCTGCGGGTAGTAAGTATTTTAAGTTTTAATATGAAACTTTTCTAAAATAGATGTTACTAAAAAAGTTTAAGTGAATGTACAAAAATTTAATTGATTTAAGAAATTTATTTTCTTATTCGTAAAAACAAACAATATTTTTTATATAATAATACTGATATACTTTTATATAATAATACTGATATACTTTACAAAAAGAAATAGTTTAAGATTTTTTGTTTTGTATCATTTGTATTAGTACATAACAATTAAATTATTATATTTATTTAATAGATACACTGACTATCGCCGATTTCCCCTTAATTACTGCAACTATGTGTCTAGAAGCTATCGATTTCAAATTAAATACATGGCCTTACTTAGAAAAATGGTATAACAATTTTAAACAGAAACATCCAGAATTATGGGAAATCGCCGCAAAAGGTATGCAAGAAATTAATTATTACGAGAAGAATCCACCTGATTTATCTGACATAGATCATCCAATCCATCCAATTCGTAAAATTAATAAGTAACTTGACAAACAATTTTATATGAAATGTTAAAATATTTGTAAATTATTTGTTAAAATTGGATGTTAATATATCGATTATATTCTAATAAATTGAATGCTTTTATTGACATATATATTTGTAATTTTTTAAACATTAACTTCAAATTAACTAAAGCTATGCTATATATACATATATGTAATAAATACTCTATAATTATATTTTTTTTATATAGATACAATTATATTTTTTTATATAGAATGTTTAATGATTTCTATAATTGACTGTATGTATTATAAATTACAAGATATTTTACTCGAGTTAAAAGTTAATCTAATTTTGAAATAAACAAGTAACAATGACAATTTAATAAATTTTAATAATAATTTAAATAATAATGACAACTTATTGTATATTTATACAATTGTTTATATTTTAAATTTTTTTATTAGTAAATTTATCATATAAATAATTTTTTTTACTAAAAATAACATAAAGATTCATTATAATTTTGTATACTTTGAGTACATTTTAAGTACATTTAAATATGCACAATTTATTTTCAAAAATTTTTCAAGAATTTTAAGAAAATTTTGAAATCACTATATGTCAAATAATACATAAATTATACATAATATATATATATAATATACATATATTATATATATATAATATAATATACATAAATAATACATAATATATATATGTTTTAAATAAAACGAAAACAGTTACAAAATTATTTATTTCTAAATAATATTAAATAATAATAATTGAAATTTGTATAGTTTAATATTTTTTATTTATTATCATAAATGTTATTATTTACTTTTATTATTTGTTAATTCCTCGTTTTTAAAAAGTTATACAATCAATAATGGATATCAATAATGGATAATTTTAAATTAAACAAATTTATATTTGCATTTAAAATTGGAGAAAAAGTTTATATAAATTTGATATATTATTAATATTATCAAATAAATACAAGTATTATATAATTTTACATTAGATTTTATTTAACAGAGATTTGATTATTTAAAAGAGTAGGAATAATAATACCATAATGATAGTTTAATATACAATTTTGTTTATCATATATATAATATAAAAGTTTAAAAATTCTTGAGATCTATAATTTTTAATAGACTTTAATATAATTAAATTCTTTAGAAAATGGATATTAATTTGATAATATGAATGAATATTAATATTATATATAATTAATATTATATATTAATATAACCTACATATTTAATAAACAGTCCTCTGATATATAATATTTTTAAGTAGTATCATACTTTGTTTCATATAGTAGCTCACGAAAATATTCGAATACATGCCATTAAAATTTTAAATAATATTCATAATAATAAATAATAAGTAAATTTTTATGTTAAATTTAAGTTTTGAAAACAATATTATTATGAAACATAAAATGCTATAATATTGTTTTTTAAGATTTGAATCTAACATAAATATTTTTATTATTTAATAAAATATGTTCAAACAATTTTATAAATCACTGTCATATTGCAATCTTTCACTGTCAGATTGCATAGATTCTAAATAAAATCATGCAAAATTATAATTTAATTTTAGTTATTAGAAATAAGTAATTCTTAAATGGAAGAGTAATTATCTTAAATGGATAAATAATTCTTAAAATTCATATCTATACTACAAAATAGATAGAAATAACTGATATATTATATATAATTTATATAATTTAACTGAGCGAATATTTTATATTTTTTTGATAATACGAACAAAAAAAATTTGCAATTTAATACTATTTGTTGATAAAAACACTTTACTAAAGAATTTTTTTATTTTTTATAATCAATTAAGATTAAATCGTTAAAACATTATATTAAGTTAGATAATAAAATATATATATCTTATTATATATACAATAAAATAATAATTTTAATAGTATTATTTAATTTTAATAATTTTAAGATTGCATTTTATAAGATTATAATTAAATACATCACATATTAAATTAAAATCTTTTCATTATCTATTTCATTCATTGTTATCTATTTCATTTATTGTTAAATATTTGATTGTCTTTATAGTATACATATGAATCATGTATTTCTAGACTAATCTTGATTATATTCTACTAATACTGATAGAAAGCTTCTAAAAAAATGAAAATTTTTGCATTTCATTGTAAATAAATCAAATGTAAATATTGAATATAAAATATTCAAGAGAATTTTTATTATGAAAAGAAAAATTATCGAGATAAAAAGTTACATATCTATTTGATGAGTAACACGATAGGAATGATTTATAAATATTAATTAATAGTTCTAAATATTTTTCTTTAATAGATCATTTATATAATTAAATTCTAAGATTGTTTTATTTTCTCTTTCAAACTAATTTACGTATTGTTTTTTTTTTTTTTAAGTTTTAATTATCTTTAAAGTTAATTTCTAGATATTATGAATAATATTAAAATTTAAATATAATTAAGAAATAAAAACTTAATATATCTATTATTTTTATTGTACATCACGTTTCTAAAAAAAAAGAAGTTCAAATGAAATTTATATTTTTTAATTATAATATCAATAAAAATCTAAATTATTTGATTAATTAGTTATAGTATATCTTATTTTTAATCTGCTATTGACTATAAAGATATGATTGTTCAATATCATATTTTTCTCTTTTATGATATAAAACATATATGCATTGTGTGTGTGTATATATGTATATATACATATTATATACATATATATATATACATATAAAATATAATATAATATGCTATCTTATATATTTTAATATTCTATCTTATATATCTTCTTTCATAAAAGAATATGAAAGAAATAATTTTGAAAATAAAAATATTATTAAAATCGAAAATCATAAATGAATTTTATCATAATTAAAAAATATTAAAAAATTAATACTTTTTAGTAATAAATTTCTTAGAGATATGTGTATATGATAATTATTAAAGATAAAATCTATATATCTTAAAGAGAAATTTTTCAAATTATATATTTAATTTAATAATTTAATAATTTCTAGTTAATAATATTTATTGATTGTAAACGCATATTTTGATTTAAAATTTAATAAATAATGTCAAAATTTGAAAAAAAATTCATTGAATTTTAGTGAAAAAAGATATTCATTCATTATATTCATGAATATTCATGAATATAAGTAAATAATTTAACTGAATTATAATATAATATTTATTTTAAAATTATTGAAAGAAAAAATTAAAAATTTTGAAAATAATAATATAAACTAAAATAAATATTTAGACCAAATACGACGAATAAATTGAATTTTTAATATAATTAAAAATTTGTATGCCAAAGATTTTTGTATTTGTTATCAATATTTTTTCGAGATATTTAAAATTGAAACATTTCCATATATTACTGTTTTGACAAATTAATTCTACCTGAAATGATAGTACACGTAGTCACCGAACTCTTCCTGAAGGAGAACGAAGATGTGATTTTATATAGCCAGTGCGATAATCAATTACATCACGTTGCGTACCTCCTGATACTCCATGTCCATGTCTTCTACTCCATCTGTAATTAAATCTTAGATTATTCGTTTCCTGGTTTTCTAAATAACATCTTCATTTGCATGCAAGTATTATATTTTCTTTCTTTTTTTAGCATGGTTAAATTGTAAAAATTTTCTAATTATCTTATACAATTTGAACAAAATTCTTTTAATTTGATATGAATTATAGAAAATTTTTACAAAAATAGCTTTACACATCTTTAGTTTTAAAATTTGCGGCTTGTTTCTTCGTTCAAAGAAGAAATAAAAAAAATACTGAATTAAATTATATTAATAATATTTCAGACATTTTTGTAGAAAATTATTAATTTTGTTAATATCTTTATAATATATTTTATCTATATGTCAATCTTTAATATATTTAAAAATTTTACTAATTAAATGAAATATATAATATTATATATAATATTTTTTGACAAAAAAATGTAAGATATATTATAAAATTATCTGTAAATATCTGTAAATAATCGTTATGTACTATGTACTATGTAAAAACTAATTAATAAGTTAAAAGAAAAGATTTTTTAAATATAGAAAAATATTAATAGAAATATCCGCAAATTTTAATAATACGTTACGTTATAAACTAAATTTAAAAAAAGAAAATTATCACGCGAAACGCCAAGCAGCATTAATCACGACTTCTCATTCCATTAAATTACATCTAAATAAATATTACATTAAAGAATAACAGAAAGAAATACTAACAAAATTATCTAGTTACAGGGAAAAGTCATTCTTAAATGCAGGCATGTCATTGCATATACTAAGTAATAGTACTTTTAGTAAAAATACAACCTACCAAAAACTAACATTTTAAAATTAATGATTCAATTATACAGATATGCAAAAATTTAAAAGATGAATTAAAAAATTTTTTAAAATAAATCGAAAATCAAGATTATAAAAATTATATTTTCAGCTTTGTTTCTTAATTATTGAGATTTAAAAAGTAATGAAAATAATTCTGGATAATTTTTTTTATATGAACAAATATATAATAGTTTAAGAAATAAAAAATAATATAATTCTCAAGTAGTAATTCTATAATTTATATGAGATAATATGAGATAAGTTGCTATCTATTATTGAATTTGAAAATCACTATATTCTCACAATTTGAACTGATTTGAAATTTTTTTTGTAAAAAAAATTTTTATTGTATTGTATTATTAAAATAGGGCAAGATCTTTAATAATAGTATACGATAAAATATTTTATCATCTCTATTTTTTTTTTCACAGAAAAAATTTTTCTGATAATCTTTTCTTTTTTTACTTGAATTGTTCGTATTTGATATTTTTTAATGTTATTAATAATTAAAAGAATTTATTAATAATTAAAAAGAAAGCAAATTCTTGATTTTCGTTTTATTTTGAAGATTTCGAAGAATCATTTCTTAAATTTTTGGATATCAATTATATTCTATATATAATGATTATATATATAATACCTACATATTTATACATAATACAAAGGCAAATATCATTGGATAAAATTTTAAAACTTTGATTATTCGTTATTTAAAATATTAAAATATAAAACGATCTAACTCGACAACATTAAAGTACTCACTTTTCATTGCATAATAAAATCGTTTTGATAAAAATTATGTGATTAAATGAAAAGAACAGCGATGCATATAAATTATTATTATCAATAAGATTATTTGTTCAATAAGATTTCTAACAGAAAAATATGAAACAAGAAAAATAATATTAAAAGCTAACTGAAAAATGTAAATATAAAAGCCAAAAATACCGAATACCAAAGTATCTGTAAGATAAATGTTATTTTAAATGATATTTCGAACTATGTACTAATAAGTAAATCTTAATTTAATAAATGAAACCATCGACAAAACGATATTCAAGGTTTCTTCCATGCAGATCTCAATACGATGACAGGTGAAAAATTGGACTGTTTTCTGAGAACAAACAATGTATAAAGTTTATCTAAATCTAAACGTTAATTATTTACCATAGTATTATAGCATTTATTATAAAATTAAAATAAAAATCTTTAATTACAATTTATATAACACAAGTTCAACTGTGTTATATAAATTGTATATTAATTAAATAGTTAATTGAAATATTTATAATAGTGATATTTTTTGTATGGCTATAACAGAAATAAATTAATTGAATAGTAAAAAATTAACTAAAACAAATATACATTAATAAAAAATAAAATATTTAATACTAGGATATCATACAACGAGTAAATTGCAAGTAATTTGAAGTTGTCAAGTTAAATGAGTTATATTCCATATTCAATGTGATATATTTAACATACGTACGATAAAATATATTGAACATATATAAAAAGAAAAAATATATATATATATATGCATACAAATACATATTTAATATAATTATATAAAATTTATGATTAATATGAAAAATTCTTTAAATCCAACAATACACATACTATTTTTTTTTATTATTTCTTTTAATTTTTTGCTGAGTTTTACCAATTGATTGCTGAAAAATTTAGATAAGAAACAACACTTGATTTCATAAAAAATTATATGACATTATTGTTTCTATATTTCATTTTTCTTTGTAAAAATTAATATTAAACAAAAAGTTATAAATTTATAGAAAAAATTACAGAATTTACAAAATATTTTTCAATAATCTGAAAATAAAAATAGGAGATATAAATTAATATATTTTATTTTAATTGTATTTAGAATGATGATTCTTTTGCAAAATAATTAATAAATCGATTAGACAAATTGTATTCAATTAAAGATTGATATAGTTTTTCCTTCATAAACCTATAATTTGAATTGTTCATTTGAATCGTATTTTGATTAATCGTATATAAAACTATTTGAATATCGTTCAACATAATTTTTACGAAATGAAATAAACTTTCATATTGTTTAATTTCCTTTTTTAATTTTATTTTTTCTTATTTATTTGGATATATTGTGGAATTAATTTTTACAACGATATCGCGTGAAAAATAAAAAAAAAAAAAGAAACATAAAAAGAAACATGAACCTGTCGACGAAACTGATTACGAAAATATTAATAATTCTTTTCGATGTAACTTCACATAAATTCAGAACCTCGATTCGCGGCTTTTATTATTCAGCCATACCTTGTTATTAGTTCTGAAGACCAGGGGGATGGGAACGTTGATGATTATTCGTTGCGGTCGAGGTTGTGATTGAGGTTGAGGTCGAGGTCGAAGTCGAAGTCGAGATAGTTGTCATGATGGAAGTTGAAATCGGAGTCAAGGTTGAGGTTGTAATGGAAATAGGAATTCGGCGACGTTGGGATTCGGAACCCATGTTGTTCTGCTGAGACGAGTTAATGTGCCGATGCGTCAGATTCGCACTCGTTGTCATCAGTATCTCGCTGCTTGACTGGCTGCTATTAACTTGATTGCTGTTACTGTTGTTCATTGGCAGTAACATTTGGCCATCACCGTATGCCGATGAAACACCGTAACTTCGTAGCCGATATTGCCGTTGTTGAATTGAGGAATACCGGCTTCTAGCAAAAGTGCCCCTTCGCTGCTGTCCGCCCGTGGTACTGCGTATATTAATCCCTTTTATCAATATTTTCGTTATTTTCTGCAAGGACCTGTAGACGGCTTCTTTTGACAGTGGTTTTAGTTTTATCCTTTTTTTTTTATGTTGCAGTATATTATTTTTTACACGATTTATATGCATTATTAAAGGAAATTATAAATAATTCGTTAATCTAGTAAGAAAAATTTATTTTTTCATTTTATTTTATTATTTCATTGTCCTATTGATTTGAAAAATATCATATACGTATATAAATCAAGACTAAATCTTAGTTTAGGGCATTAAAAATTTTGAATTTTTCTTTTATGTCTTTTATAGATTTTGATAGATTTGAATTCAAAAAATGTTTGCCTCTGATATTGAAATTCATTGATTCAAAATTTTGTAATGAATTTCATTAATTAAAATCGTCATTTCTTAATTCTTTGCAATGAACATCTATATACATATCTAGAAATATAAAAGAATATAAATTTCAGCACTATTAATTAAAGTTTAATCTAAGTTTGAATGTTCAAATTTTCATATAATATTTATTCTAATTTAGTTTTTTTTCACAATTGTATGCAAATATAATATAAAAAAAATTTTTCATATTTTTGAATGAATTATATTACAATTATATATAAATATAAATTTTTAATTTTATTTAATTTATATTTATAGAAAAAAGACAATATAAAAAAATATATTAATTATTATTATATTTGAAAAATGCAATTTGTATTTATAGAATTTTTGCGTCGATTAAATCAATATTCAATATCATAAGAAAATATCGAATGAAAAATTTAACGAATGAAAAATTTTCTTATTTAACATTAACAAACAATATTTTTTTCAATAATATTTAAACAATAAATTAAATCTATTGTATTATTTTTTTTTATTATTTTATTTCAAAAAAAAATTTGGTATTTCATATAACATATAATACATTAAGATTAAAATAAAAATTAAAACTATAATATATATATAAAAGTGACAAATATATATGCTTTTTAATTAAAAAAAAAAAGAAGCACATATAGTTTCATAAATGCAGAGATAGATATTAAACGTATCATAACATCATGCTTGACATATCATGCATTTCGTTATATTTGTCATTTGAAGAAAATTCATCTGAATATTTTAAAAATTACGTTTTAAAATATAAAAAAAATATATATATATATATATACTAAAATTTTAAGATTAATATTTAGTAATTAATAATCATATTTAGTTTAATCATATTTTTTTATAATTATTTAGTTCAATCATATTTTTTTAATTATTTTTTATTGAATTAAAAAAAATAATTTGGTAATTAACTTTTGCATTTATTAGATAATTGAAAGATATAACTTAGCAATGTCATATTCAATGCTATTCATTTAATATATTATTTAATAATAATGCTTAACATATTATTAATACAGATGAATTTTCGATGTAAGTAACATATAAAACGAAGGCGATTGTTTTTCTTACCTCGAACTGTAACTCATGAGGACTATGTTTCTGTAACAGCATATAATCCTGATTGTTGGGAAGCGAGTGATGAAGTGTTGACGTTGAATCACAAATAACACAACAAGCAGCTCAAGCAATTTTATTGTATTTTCTTATGTAATTAAATTGAATGTTTCATTTGATTCATATATTGAAAGTAACATTAATAAATAATTCTGAATATATAACTATTCAAGTAAATTGTATTTTTAATCTTTAAAATTAAATAAAAAAAAATTGAAATATTACTAATAAATAAAATTAAATTAAATTATTTTTTAAATTTTTTAAAAATTTTAATTTAAATTTTGCAAAAATTAAATCTATCAAAAATATACTTTTCATTTTTTTTTTTAAATTCAAAATATTTCAATATTTCTTGTAAATATATATATTAAATTTTAAATTATATATTATGCAAAATGGTGGTTACAGATAGAATCAATTATATGTATATTATATGTAACAAAATTTCATTTATGGGAAATTTTTTTTGCTTATATTTATAATTCTTATACATTTTACTTTGTCTCCTATTTTTTATTGATAAAACATTGAAAAAATATATTTATATTAATTATAATATTAATTATATTTGTTTCAATATATTAAAAAATAATTATTATAAATATAATAATATTTCGCATACTCTAGTAAATTTATTAATATGAGTGCAAATGCAATCATTTCTTATATGTTATCATTATTTCTAATATTAAAAATATTAAAAAGTATTATAGAATAATGTAAAATTATGATATTAGAAATATCTAAATAAGCAATAAAGTGAGCGAATGGAAAAAAACGCGAAAATGTAAATTAAAATATAAATAACGCAAAAAAAAAACAAAATATTACAAATTTTTTAGCTCTTCATAATTTATTTTACATATTATATTTTGGTTTTATATAATTGATTTTATTTTATTTACTATTTTTTAAATTGAATTAAATTAAATTAAATTTATTAAATCATTTTATTTAATCTTACTATTTTAATCTTATTGTTTTACTTCTTAATTGTTTTTTTATATATATATTATATATTAATATGTCGTTCATCAATCGCAGTTAATTTTTTTTGAGTATCACTATAAAAAATATTTGTAAATAAATAATTTATAAAAATTCATATAAGATATATATGTATAATTTATTTGTATGTTTATAATTCTTTTTTAAATTTTATTTTTTTCTCTAAAATTCTAAACACATAAAAAATCATTAATTATAATGAACACTTAAAAGTCCTTTTTCGATTACAAGAGACAGAATATAATATATTATATTTTATTCTCAAATGCTTTGATAGTTAATATATTAAAAATAAATAAAAAAATAAGATAAATTAATATAATATAAAAAACAATAAAATTTTATAATCGAATAAAAATCAAATATAAATAAAAATCCTTCTGTTTTATAAATTAAAATTCAATATTAACTATTTCTTTATAATGCGTAAAATACAAAAATTATATATATATAAATATATTTTAATTAATTCTTTAATTAATAGCAAAAGATATTTTAAATTAAATTATGAACGATAATGTATTCAAATTAATTATTAACTGATAAAATCATTAGATTGTAAATAATTTAGTTTTTAAAAATTGACTTTTTGTATGTAGAAATAAATTAAATATTTTTATAGATATTTTATAATAATAATAGTAGTTTTCATTTAACAAACTTATGTACATTTAATTTTTCATTATATTGTACATTAATTTTTATATTTTTAATAATTAGCAAATTGTATATATTCTAACTACTATATATTTTCACAATTTGCATGTATCTAAAAGCTGCATTAACAAGATAGCAATTTCAAGTTATTGCATAAACTTTGAGCTTCGTAACATGTAACTCTATCATTTCTACGAATAAAAACTAATTTATTCAATATATGATATAATCATGAAATATTTATCTTGGATATAAAAGATATTTTTTTAATTATACTTTAAACCTGTTGCATATTCCAGGCATCCTGCAAAATAATATCAATGCCATTTTTCATTTTTGTTAATTTATAAAACACACAAGTACCTCTAAATGGCAAAGAAAATGTCTACTCTCTGCTTTGAATTTTTTCTACACAGCAAAAATATAAAATCATTATATGAACTATCACACATTTTTAATTAATATTTTAAAAATATAAAAAAATATTTTGATTAGACCGAATCAATCTTTCAAATTTACCTATACATGTGAACGTACAGCGTTTTAAAAAAATATATAATACTATCATCAATGAAAATATAACATAATAAGATTTTAATGTAAAAACATATATTATTTATTTATAAATATTTCAACATTTTTAAAATTATTGACAGAATTGACATGATAGCAGAAGCAATATACATGATAATTTTATGCATAATATTAAAATGTTATATACAAATATATTATATATAATTGCATAATTTAAAAATATATTATCTTTTTTATTAAAAGCTATTCACAAAGTGAAATATGAATTTAGATATGCTTCAAAGAAATTCAAATACAGAAGTGAATAATAGAAAGATATTTATAGGCCATTTTTATATATCAAGCATATCCTACATCAGTGAGACTACACTGCCTCTATGGTGCAAAACAAGATAAACGACATTTTAATATTCTTGCAAAAAGAAGAAATATATAAATATGTATATATGTATATATGTATATATGTATACATAGATACATACATATACACGCGCACACACGTGTATGTAAAAAGGTAACAAACATAGGACGTTTAGAATATCTACAGAACTAAAAACTAAAATTCATTTAAAAGTTATAAACATACCATAAAATTATATATAAAAATTATATTTAAAGTGCATACCGGAGTAGTCTGGTTATGTAATCTGGCCAATTATCTGGAAACATCACGAGAAAGAAGCCAACTGCTATAAAAATCATTCCTGCCAATTTCATGCCCATAAAATGAGCTCCGTATAAAAGAACATCCAATGCTGTAATACCATGACATTGAACAATTATTAAATATGATTATTATAAATTAAATTAATAAAATTATATTTTTACCGTACCTGCGGATACAGGTACAGCGGTGATCAATCCTAATGTAATGAATAGGTCATAGGTCAAAGCAATACTGAAGTTACCAAGCATGTTTGCAACTAAATAATAACAAAATATAATTTTAATTTTTTTTTTTTGAATTCTAGATAATTAATGTTAAGTGAAATACTAACTTAAATGCAAAATGCTTGCCGAAAGTAATGCTGTCCATGGTAATCGTCCCCATTGTATGCTTTCTGCTCCCGAAAAGTAAAGAGCTAAACAAATTGGCCACAATAATGCTGCATTGCACAATCCAATAAGTGAAAAGAATAAAGACATTTGACCAAATGTTGTTTCTCCTATGACTTTCTTAAACAGCACCTAATTTAACATTATATTATATAATATGACTTTTATAAGATCCATTAAATTATTTTGATATATTTAATATTGATATAATTGATATTAATAATATTTAAACAATATTTAATATTAACATAGTAAAGATCAACATATAAATTACATTATAATCTTAATGCTTATCACTCAATTATGATATATATTTAGCGTGCCTTGTCTTTGCTTATTATCTTGTTATTTTTATTATATTTTTATTTTATTATATTCAAATAAATAATTATTATCTTTTTTTTAAAATATAAACAATTATGATCGCATTTGAGAAAAAACTTGAGAAATATTTGAATAATATTTAATGAAATAAATAATAAGCATGTTTGAAGCGCAAGAAATTTTAAAATAATAAAAATCTAAAAGCATTGATTTTTACCTTATAAACTGCTGAACCAGCCGCTGCCGATGTTGCTAAAACAACACCTCCTAAAGTTGGACTTCCTGTTATGCCATCCATATATGCTAAAAGTGCAATTCCAGTATTGCATAAAATGACTGCTACTATCTGTAATAGGTTTATTCATAAATACATTAATTAATAATTAAAGATATATTATAAATTTTGTGAATATACTGCTCACCCTTACTCCAACAAATTGTTCATGAAGAATAACCCATGATAATAAATACACACAAGATACATTTGTTGCAAAAAGTGCCATTACATCGGTAGCTAATAATATTCTAAGTGAATAAATATACATATAATTTGTAACTACCCAAAGTCCACAAAAAAGACTACATCTAATTAAGAAACGACCACCGGTAAATCCTTTGTCACGAAAACCTCGTAAACTTTCTGCAATTATTTCGGATGGAGTATTACATTTAATTCTTGCAGATTGACAAAGAAAATAAACTGGGAAGTAAAGAATTTCCCAATTTGTACAAAACCAAGTTGTAAAGAATGGAGCATTATATGGAATCGCCTAAAAAAGAAAGATATGAAAG